CGGGACATAGAGGAGAAACAATAATGTACAGTATGTGGAAAATAATGTGTTTTTTGAACCTTAAACCACATAAGCACATTTCATTACACCAAATACACAAAATCATGTTCTTTTTAGCAACATCATGACCCCTTTAACTTTTTCAATGCTTGGGTCACTTTTTGAAAACTCCACAAAGTGAGCACAACTGAATCATTTATCATTGCTTTGGTACAAAATTCATTCAATGACTAAGTCTTTAAAATTGCATGAATTCTTTTCCCTTTAAAATGCATCTTTGATAATCAAAAGGACACGCATAAATGTTTTTTTTTTTCAAATGGTCATTTCTTAATGTCTTAAAAAGGCTTGAATGTAAACCTTTCCTCATTTAGTATGTGAATCATGAATATGCTAATTATCCCCGCCTCTCAGTCGGACCTGCTCCACTTTCACGCCGTTAAGTAGTAAACGCAATGTAAAACGTTCACAAAGTTTTCCGTTATAACCAGTGAAGCGCTACACCGCACAATGAACCTCTTATTTACATCATGTCAACACTTTGTTGTAATGAGAGAATTTGCGAGTGCGCAGAATTCAGCACTGAAACAAAAACTAGTTTTTTGAGCAGTGCGTATTCTAATCTTAGACGCATTTGATTGGCCGGCGCATTCAAGAAAGCAACAGATATGTCTGTGATTGGCTACATCCGCTACAAACATTCTAAATCGAACCCTTTCACCAGTTATGAAAAGCCCCGCCCCCGCAGGTTGATGGGATTGGTTAAATGTCTGTGACGTAGGAAACGGGCAGATTCAAACCGAAGCGTTTTGTGAACTGTAGCAGTGTTGCCAAGTAATTGGGGTACTTTAACACCGTTGCCGCAGGTTGTTTTTCATGTCCGCGGGTTGAAGCGACTCCGATAACACTATATTTATCCCCTGGAATGCGAATTTTAGCAGCAAAACAAAACTGAAAAAGACAGGAATTTGCTACAGTAATGCCATGCTGAAATATAATACAAATTAATATATAATAATGGGCTGCTTCAAAGCGCGAAGGAAAGACGAACAAAAGAAGATTTAGGTCAAACAAAATTTATGTTTAAAAAGTAAAGATACAAATGGTGACCTTTGTGTCTCAATTTCCCAGTAGTTTTATATCACACTAGTATAGAATGTGCTGGAATGGCCTTAATATGAACCTTTTTAAGTTACAAACATATTTCAGGTAGTTAAACCACAAAATGATCTAATTACTCAAATCACTGAAACAGCAAAACAATATTTTCATCTTGCTTACATTTATGGGGAACCCAAAAGTCTGAGAACATGCTGAAAATATGGTCATTTTAGGCTTCATTTGTTTACTGCATTACTTAACATGAACTGACAACAAAATACTTATACAGTATTTATAATTTCAACATTTACTAATACATTTTTTTAAATCAAAAGTTGTATCTATTAACGTTAATGCACGTTCAGTGAACAATTGCATTTTCATTAACCAACAGTAACAAGGATTAATAAAAGCATTAAAAAACATTGCTCAATGTCAGTGTTAGCTAATACATTAACTAATATTAACAAATGAGACATTACTGTAATGTTACCTAATATGATTTTTTTTTTTTTTTAATGAACAAAACCTTGTAGTTTTAGGATTTAGAAAAAAAATTAAATCTAAGACATGAAATAAATATACTTGTACAAATATTATGAGTGTGTAATAATTCTAGGACAACGATTAAATTTTTTTTTTTATAAGTAATAACTTAAGTTATAAGCAAGTTAAAGCAAACAGGGAACTTATCAAATATCAGGCATCCTAAAATCCATGTTTATGCTTTTAATCTATAATGTGACAATTAGATCATGTAAAATAATATAAAATATGTACTTTTTTCCCCCAGTGCTCTCAGACTTCTGGAGCCCACAGTAAACACGGTAAAACTGCAGACGTATTTCATGTGTAAAACCTGCTCGTTAGAAAACATTTGCAAAAGAAGGTAAACTAACTTCATTTTAACAAAATGCATGGACCACTTTGTAAATATCTGGACATTCAAATAGTTTTATAAAGAACACAGATTCCCATTAATGTCCGAGTTAAAAAATATAAATATTCCACAGATGTCACCACAATCCATTCACATAAAGCCTTTGGCACCAAGTCCTACTCTGAACTCGCACGTGTTGAGAAAAGGATCTCGCGCTGTACCATAAACACACATTTCAGTAGACCATCATTAACAACCTCTAATAAGAGATTGTTCATTTGTAAAGGACAGGGGTGATGCAGAGACCCCTTCAGTCATCAGAGTTCAAGAGATGAGTTTATGAACGGATCTGATCCATCAGGTCCATGACTGTGAGGTCATATGGCCATGGTGTTGCTCTTGTGTGCGGGACCGTCCCACGTCAGGCCGTCCCCGTGAGGGAGATGACTGGAGGGCAGCAGAACTCGCGTCAGCCAGTCACTGGTGGATAAGAAAAACATGGCAGATATTATAAAATATTGAATTAGAAATAGTTGTACATTCAACTTTCACCTACATCTAAACTGGGGAATAATAACCGTGGGACAATAATAAAAACATCTCACCTCTGCTTCTCAACACCAAAAAATATTTTCCAGTTGTTAATTTTTCCATGATGGTATGGATTACGGAAAACCTGCGAACAGACAGTCGATTTCACAACAGTTTTGAGAATACAACTTGTTTTGTCTAACTTCATCTCTGAAAAACAAAAAACGATATATAATCAGCATTATTATTATTTTTTTTTTTAAATTTAGAAACAGTATTTTTTCATCTCTGAAAACAAAAAGAACATGAAAGCAAAATAAAAGATCTTATTTTATTATGAGATTTAGAAATTAATTTTGCAATTGTGCTGCTAAATTGACATTTTTAAAAAAAATTACTATTATTAAGAACAAAAATATCAACATCTACTACTTCAAACTCTGCACATATTGCATTTTGAGCTGCTAGTTTTATAACTTCCTCCCTGAAAACCAACAACTAAAAAATGTAATAATCAAATTTGATCAAATTATTATTATTATTAATACTACTACTCATTTTTTTATAATTATTCATTAAATAATATTTTTTCCAACTGCATTTAGTGACTTCAAAGTGTATACCTTGGTCTTATTTCTTCCAAATTGGTGGTTGTTCCGCTAATCTGATGAGCACATACTTCTCTTACCTTGCCCTTCAGTCGCAGTCGTCTCCTCTCTTTGTGGTTGATGTGTCTCTCCACGCTGGTCTCTCCTCTGGTGATCAGTATCGCGTGCCACAGTGTCAGGCCTCCTAACGCTACAGCCACTGAACTGGAAACACGTCAGAAACGTCAGGCCGCAAGCACAGGAGAAACACATGCCGAGTGTAAATTGAGACGTCTTACCTCGTCAACACCCACAGATAAACGAGGCTCTTATGTACCATCCTCTCCTGACGGGTGAAGGCGGGTGGAGGTGTTTGATAGGAGCTCTTCAACATAAAACAAAGACTCACCTTAAAGGAACACTCCACTATTTTTGAAAATAAGCAAATTTTCCAACTCCCCTAGAGTTAAAGAGTTGAGTTTTACCGTTTTCGAATCCATTCAGCCGATCTACGGGTCTGGCGGTAGCACTTTTAGCTTAGCTTAGCATAGATCATTGAATCTGATTAGACCGTTAGCATCTCGCTCAAAAATGACCAAAGAGTTTCGATATTTTTCCTATTTAAAACTTGACTCTTCTGTAGTTACTTCGTGTACTAAGACCGACGGAAAATGAAAAGTTGTGATTTTCTAGGCCGATATGGCTAGGAACTATACTCTCATTCCAACTATACTCTCAATGATATTACTCAGCGCTTGAAAATAGGCTAACTTCCGTCAACAACCAACGTATGTCATTCTAAATATCATTGCGCCTGCTGCACCCATGGTACAGCAGCAAAGTTCCTTGATTATTACGCCAGAATGAGAGTATAGTTTCGAAACTCTTTGGTCATTTTTGAGCGAGATGCTAACGGTCTAATCAGATTCAATGATCTATGCTAAGCTACAGCTAAAAGTGCTACCGCCAGACCCGGAGATCAGCTGAACGGATTCGAAAACGGTCAAACTCAACTGTATATCTCCAGGGGATTTGGAAAATTAGCCTATTTTCAAAAATAGCGGAGTGTTCCTTTAAGAAGATAATCATGTTAATCATAGCTAAAACCAAAACTTTCACAATTAGTCTACAGATCTAATATTCTACTGTGTGAACTAGTGCTTCTTCATCTACTGTCTGCGGCTGCAGTTCACTGGGCAGAAACTCTTAAACTCAGCCGCTAATATCTGATGTGGATTTCATTCGAACAGCAACCGTAACAAACAGCCAAGATTACCTCTCAAATAACAGCTAATTGTTTATATTCATGTCCACTTGATAAGCATTTCAAATGCATCTGTCTGTGATTATGATGCATGTGATATCTGCAATTATTGTCAACCTAAAGTTGGCTAAATCAGCCTTTTATTAGTGGGACTACTCCAATATTTCATAGGTGATTTTAATGCCTGTAGTGTCACGTAAACACATAATGTAGGTCTTGAGAAAGAGTCTACAATGCTTTGCACCATAGACTTCTCTTGTAAGAGCATTAGCGCAAACTGAAACTGCTGTAAACTGAAAACAGGCTGAACTTGTATTTAACCCGGGAACAATCCGTACAGTAACTAAAGTTATTGCCCTCTAGGAGTTTTGCCAGTGTGAAGCTGCAGCCTCTGTGTAGCTTCTACCTGCTGTGAGAACGAGATATAGAT